CAGGTTTTTTTTAAAACCCTTTTTAATGTATATTAATCTAGCAGTTGAGGAGTATCCTAATTACAATGTACATGGTATATATGTGGATCAGGGATCGAAATTAGCAATAGCCTGGATCAGTGTTTATTAACGTTAAAGGTATCCTAAGGTCTAGTAGAATTTCAAACATTTTGGTGGTATCACTATTTGGGCTAGTAGATGTTTCACTATTTGGGCTAGTAGATGTTTCACTAATTGGGCTAGTAGATGTTCTTGGTTAATATCCCAGTTGATGAAAATCTGCATCAAGATATGGAGCATAGGCCCCTTCAAGTCTAATTTAGATGCCTTAGATCAGTCCATGCAAATATGGTAAAGCAATGTTAATATTATGAATACACAATCAGAGCTTTATCCAGCAAACTTGTAAAGATTTTTTTAGCATTTTTAGGCTGACTAAAAGAAAATCAATCCAGCACACCCTCCTGTTTTAGATTAAGTATACTAATAGGTAATTATCCTCCTACATAACCTACACAATTACACTTGTCAGTTCATGGGGTTCTCTATGAGCGCATACTCGGTCCAACATTGTACACAAAACTAACAATAAACTTTACATGAGAACAAAGATGTTGACGGATGACGAAGTAGACACAGTTTACAGTAAAATCCATAAGTTGCTATCCTTAAACTGTGTCTACTTTATAACAAAGGCAAGCAACAACCCTAAACCTTCTTTCATTCCATTTGAACTAAGCATGGGAGCTGTAACTCCATACAGAATATCACCAACTTGAGTAAGACAAATCACCAGTTTAATGTCTTATCTATTACCAATACACAGGTCTCAGCATATCGAGGCCTGTGACTAGAGTAATCTCTGTCTACATTAGTCTATGCACACACATCTGGATAGCTGTGTCACCAACGTCTCGGTGGGGAAGGTCCTCATTTCTTTTGTATTGTTGCTTGTGAACATTATCTATACTTGCTTTATCTTTCCAGCACAGACAAAACACAATTTGTGTAACCTCTCAACACATCAATAAATGTTCTTTGAAATATACTGCATAAAATAAAACTCATGAATAGATAATCACACCAGCAACAAAGGTTTCCAGCTGAAACTATGCATGAGGTATTATTGTTTGTTCCATTAAGATAAAACATAAATTTCCATTTCATAACACAAGACAAAAGTATGGAAAGAAAGTCTGTATAAACTACATGTTGATAGGGAAATTTTATTTTTCTATCATACACAAAAAATATACTCACAATCTCAAGTGCATATTTGAATAGAATGACATATCTGACCATCCCTATCAATATTTGAGTATATGTATTTGTTTTTTGTGTGTGCGCACGTGTGATATGTACGTCATGTACATACAGATCTATCTAGGACAGTGCTATACACATATTTGCTGAGGTTTTGCTTGAGATAAATGCCAGGACATGGCTATGATTCTATCAACCTTTTCCCTGATCTTACTTCACATTACAAATTTACAGTTATATTTTGTATTTATTTGATTTCATTCTGAATGACCTACACTTTGGACATGTTGGAACACTATCATACTTATTAAACACATTACTGATGTAAAATAACACTTATAAGGACATTCAATCCTGTTCATCTATTAAATATACAAGCCATAAAAACATGAAAAGAGGAGTGTTGGCATGGTTACATGGCTCTCTTCATTTGGGTTAGTAAATTATTGAGTAGTTTTTGGAAGTTGATTTTTTTTTAAATGTACAATAATGGGCCACAGAGGATTTATTCAAAAATTTGATTGTATTATGATAGGGATCACCAGAATAGGGATTCTTGAGCATGACAACACATTGTCTACACGCTTTATACTATAACATACAAATAAATACTCTTGACGAAAACAAGGAGCTGAGGTGGTCTGGTTAGAGTGCTGAAGGGGTCGGGCTCAATGGTACTTGTTTTCGTATGTTTACCTCGTCAAGAGTAATCATTTGTTTCGTTTAACCGAAATTCACTTTAAAGTTTATGAAATCTTTAAACAGTCCTCTTTCATGACAGTAACTTATCTGCGAACTGTGAAATGTTCGTACCACATACCATCTTGTTTTCTAGCAGACGGGTCAATATTCATCATGTGACAGGTCAATACTGATCATGTGACGAGTCAATATTCAAGGTCGGTGTCAGTTACATGATTCAGGGTCTACGTTGAAATATATTGTTTTGTCACATGGTACGGATTAACCAATGGAACTGCAAGATTCTTTATTGAGGTATAACACTCTATGCTGTTAAATCGCTACAGGTACTTATAGTTTTACTTAAGAACAATGTTCCGTGTCACATGAACAGTACCAGGGTCTTCCACTGTTCCAGCTACCAACCAGAGCCTCTAGAAGCCTGATTTATAGCATGCCTAAAGCATGGCCATCTTTTCTCAGCAATAATACACAAAGTGATCTAAATATCACCCTGGCCTCGCTCTGCATTTGATCTTCAGGAACAGGCCGCCATTTAATTTGATCTTAGGCTGGAAAGGGGATACAGTCCTACATATGGGACCACTCAGTTGAGTCAGCTCCACAGTTAAACATGATACTGTGAAAGCCAGATTAACATTACACAGGCCCATATCAACATGAAACAAGTTTTCCTTAGCCAAATCAGCCTGATTCAACACCAACTTGAAACAGTTTTTAAAGCCAAATTAGACCACAAAGCCAGATGAAGTCGTGACCCATATATTTTTCCGGGTTAAGAAGTGGACTGAAAGAAGTGAAGCTGCTGTTCTGTAAAGTGTGTAAGAAAAGTCTCATAAGACAAACAAAGAGCTCTGGAGTGAGTAGATCTGTGTCTAGTACAACTCCACATGGCCTGGTCTTCTCATGGCACAGCTTGAAGCTTGGCTTTCCTGCAAACCAGCTGTGAAGCTGGGAGCTGATAATAGAAAGCTGCCTCTCAATCACAGTTGAAATGTGACCATCCACAGTCCCCAGTTCCTATTCAGATGCCCTCCACTCACACGGAGACATGTGCAATGGACGAGATCTTGTCTTTGGTCACTGTCAACAAATGCCTTCATGTTGACTCTGGACAGGTTGAACTTTTCACATTGACAGTTTAAATCTTTGCAAAAGGATTTGAGCAAGTTTCATGACAGCATGGCATAAAGATACTGTTTGAAATTGTCGATCTGGAATCTTCACTGGTTTCTTTGTGTCAGTTCAATGTTAGAAGTATAAATAGTTCTAGTTTGTAATTAAACAATGAAACCTGAGAATGCAGTTTGCAGGCAGGACATGTAAACCGGACATGTGAAGGAGGAGTAGAACTGCAAAAAGTGTATCTAAAATGCTGTCAAAAATCAATATACAAATATATTTCAGAATAACAGACTGTGTCATTCTTCTACATCAATTTCAAACATGTAATGATTTATTTATTTTTATTATTAGTTGGGTTTCCAAACCAAACATGTTTTTACCAGACTACCATGATTACTAGAAGGAAGTAAAGGTACTATCACGTTTTTTAGGAAATACATATTGATTTCTGTCACTTAATTTCAAATTAATCATCAGACTTGGTAAAAGATCCATGACAAAGCACATTCTAAATCCAAGGCACCAATGATGAAGAATTCATTAATGAGAAACAATGGCAGGATTAACTCTAGGTGCAATAAAAATGCCAACAGATTAGCAAAAGTGAGGCCGTCTGAGCAAGAAACTAAGTAGGTCAATCATGCAAAGCAACCCCCTACCAATTTCCCCTTTTTCACACACAACTTCCATTACACCAGCTGTCATTTCATTGAGGTATGGACACGCCCCCTTGCCTCACAGAAACTTATTCAGATTGCCTCAAAGCAGCCCTACTCATTATCTTATTTTATGACCACTTTGAATGTGAGAGCCAGTGCCGGGAAGATTAACAAACCCCAACTCAGTTACACTTGAATGTCTACCTGCATACCATCTTGATCAAATTGCTTGTGAGTGTATTTTATGACCCAATTAACTGTCTAATCTAATCTGATTGCTAGATTGTCTGTAACTCCTCAGATAAACATGTGGCTCAATTTACAGACCAGAAAACACACCCATGTTGGTTGATCAATGAGCAAGTCAATATTATATGCAATAAACATCTCTATCGGACCAGCACAGGGTTTATGGTAATTGCTTGTAAAGAAAATACTCAGCTTCACTTCACTGACCTTTTGAAGGAGGTAAAAATATATTAAAAAGAGCTATGTACATTCAAAATATTCAGCCCTCAAGATGTGCTTTGAAAATGTACAAGTGAATGATTGAATGGAATCCACAGAGTAAACACACTGAACAAACATTCTATCAAGCTCGGTCACAATAGCTTGTTTCGGAATTTAAGTGCCATAAAGTACAGATATATTTTATGACATCTTTCTGAGTCATAGAATGCTTAGGAGAAAACATGGGGACAACTGTTAAACGTCAATCACAGTATCACCCCTCATGTACACTCAGGGGTTGATGACACAGAGTGAATTCTCACAACCGGAAGTGAATAATGACCCCCACAAACATAGTAAATAAAGGGAGTGTTCTTTCAATTAGGTTGTAAAAAAAGGTTGGTGTGTAAAGGGACTTCTGTAGGAATATATATTCTTCTTAAAACATTGGTCTAGGAGAAAAATGAAGTTTCTGTGGGATCAATTATTGAATCGATAGGCCCAGCAGCCCGTCTCGTCTGAATATATTTTCCTTGCAGAACCTCACACGTCCGTCGCCTCTCTGTAAATGTTAAAACGATTACAAGCCGAAACTGAGACGTGAATTTGTGCCTAGCCCACATAAAGCTCGAGATATCGTTGACACATGCGACAGGCGAGCTCTGGGGTCGTTTACAGATATTCATTTCACTGCGATACCCACCCATTTGCCTTGCAATGATTAGGCCCTGTATAGCCAGAAGAGAAAAGCAATAAACTCTATCGATCTTCACTTTCGTGGGTTGCAATTCGATATCTTACCTATTTGCAGAACGTTGGAAACAGCACCGTTTTCTAAAAGTTTAATTCCCTGATAAAAAGGCAGCTTTTGGCTTTCACAGTTGTCCTTATTAGAACAGTTTGCATAGGAAGAGTACATGCAAATATCCTTTTCATTTCGGGGAAACGACCAGTACACAATCCGACTTTGAACGGGCTCCGGTATCCGATCGTAAAGCTGTTCTATCCGTTGAAACGGAATATTCTCTGCCACAACTTTGGCAGAAATGTCCAGAAGAGATTCCACTTCTCTTCTATGTCCCTTTTTGTCATTAGATCCATGTGCTCTGCGCGAATTCTCGCTACAATCGCGCGATCGAGAGGAGCACAACCTCTTCGAAGCCGCCATGGGAAACATATGATACTACTGGGAAGGTTCCCACTGCCCATGCGCGAAGAGGCTTAAAATAACTTGGCGCATGCGTATCGCTGTGGTATTTAGGTAATCCTGATTCCGACGTGAAAAATTAATGCCTAGTCCGGGCCCGAGGGAATCCCTTTGGGGAAATCCCTTTGGCTGAATGGAAGGTCAGCTGTGCCCGGGATCCGGCTTAGTATTTACCCCATTCATATTCTTTAGAGCGAATCTACGCGAGGTTTACACTCGAATTGGCCACCAAAGCAAGAACAATCTTTCTATGCTGTGATGCAGCCGCGTTACAATTTGTTCAAACACCTACGTTTTGTGTCCGATTCGCGCATTTGGGACCGCGGTCTTTCTGATATGGGTGTGGAAGTGACGTGAACTCTGAAATGCTCAGAAATGCTTCTTGTGCTTTTCTTCCCTTATGAAAGAGACGCGACCGGAGGACAGGGGAACAACTATACATTGATCTTCAATACCTCTAATACGTCGTAGCGCGTGTCCCGTTTGGATTGTTCGCATGTCGGATTCAAAATGTGGACTAGCAGAATTTAGCCACACTGTAGATCGAGCTAAGTTGTAAATGAAACGTGGCGTCGAATGTCAGCGCCCAATCCTATATGCAAATATCTGTTTGAAACGGACACTCATGATGTATGACCTATAACGCTTGACCTACGAATATGAATAGCTAACATGGCCGCGTGATGATCGCAATCTGAATGAGTATCCAGGCCTGTAACATATATGCAATATACACACGTTTTCCCGAACACATGTGCTGTTTCTGTTGTTCTGTCAGCGTATAAATAATTACTCATCAACAAGTCCCGTGTTCTGAATATCAAACAACCCAAATATACATAAATTCAGACAGGCCTTTTAATAATATTACTGATAATAGTAGTAGTAGTAGTAGTAGTAGTAAAAATAATATTAATAACAACAATAATAATAATAGGCCACTTAAATTGTGCATATTTCCACACCACACAGGGGCATGCTCAAAGCGTAATTATTACCTCAACAATCATTCTCAGCTCCCTGGGGAGTATACAACCCGAGCTGCCTGTTAGGCGCTAGATGATACATATGCAACATACGTTTCCCAAGCGATTTTAATGTGAACATGTGAATTTAATTAATTTTTCACTTTTACAATATAATAAATAACAAGACGTCACACACGACGCATTGTGTGTCGCAGTACTTCACACCTCTTTCGTCAGCTACCCATAAAGTATTTTCCAATTAACACCAGCTTTCTAAGGGATATGCTGACATGCCCTGCTTTGAATGTTCTTGCATGCCTATTACGCTCAAAGCGTTTATATGAAGGGGACGTCTGTGTCCCCACACCCCGAAGCAACAGTTCCCCGCTGCAATAAACCGTCTGAATAGTAGGTATCAAAATCGCCAAGGAGACTGGATGGTATTTTCAGCAACGCGTGAAAGCTTTTGCCGGAAAATACAAATGTTTTCATTGTCTCTGATTTCCTTAATTGCTCTTCTGTTGCAGTCAATACACTGTTCGCCGAAAGGTGTGATGTTTTTAAAGAGAGGAGGGAGGCGACTGAAGCATCACTTCAAACCGCATTGTTGTTGTGCTTTCCCAATCGAAGGTTTCTTTCCGTCCCGTTGCGACCAGCAGTCACAGGTGGCCATGTGTCGCCAGCAATTCATACCCTCAACACGTGTCGTGTGATACTTATTACTCAACATGGACGCGTAGCGGGGCTGAATGCATGTGCGTGCTTACCTTAACTGATTCCGTACATCAAATATAGCCTTGCTCTGCATAGTAAATCGATGTGAACCAATTACAGTTGAAAGAAAAACTACCTGTGTTTATCATAAAACAACGCCATGTGTCCATTATGACGTTGTCCAAGCTGAAACGTGAAATGCACGTCAACGAGTTTAGAATATCCTTTATAGACATCCTATATGATATATTTAATAGATATGTAAGTAACATGGATATATGTGACCTGGCTGATTGGCGTCATCATAACCGCGGACTACGCTCATCGTTGCCTGCACAATACACGTTTAGACAAACGCAGTCTAACCACACTTCATGGAACATTTCTGGTTAGAGTGAGTGAGTTTGGATTAACGCCGCGTTTAACAGTGTTCCAGTTATATCGCGGCGTGTCAGTTTGATGTGAGAGGAAAGCCCGAATTGATACAGATTTCTGACGTTTACCACTTTGGTGCTCATGAAACCCACGAGCACGGGTATGGTGCTGACAGACCTAGAAACATAATCGGGGCGAACCGGGATTCAACCCAGGGTCATAGAATTCTGGCGTGCCCAAGGGACACAAGTCAGCACTGCGAATTACAGTGCCTTAGACGAATGGGACACCTGTATACTACCTCAAAAAGGTCCACAGCAACCACTGCTTGTCGTAAGGGGCGACTTACATGGTCAGTTTCGCTGACTTGGTTGATTGGATGGATGGTTCATTATGTCAATCACTGGATTGTCAGGCCCAGACTCGACTATTTACAAACCGCCGTCGTATAGCTGGAATGTTGCAAAAAAAAACCCCATCATAATTATTATGTAGGAATACAAAAACAATATTGCCATAATAAGGCATTAACATTGTAAAAGTAATGAGCCAGTACTATGGGAAATCAGGTCATTAATTTGAACGAATCCGATCACATTGGCTCAAGATATATGTCTGAATACGTTACATATAATCTTTAGTCTGTGCCCCACCTGTAGTGCGCCTTTCATTGACTACTTCATGTAAGCACGAAGTGCATCGCAGCGATAAAACCAATCCTTTAGATTATCGTATAGCAGGATGTTATGAATAAAAAAAATCTCCTCCACGGTTGATGGTCGGCTGTAATTACCCTTAATCAGGTTTTAAATATTTAGTGGGGCTTATCTGCAGGTATAAGATGCATGTTTGCGTGAAAAAAAAACGATAAAAAAACTATTATTCTGTTCATCGTATATGAGAAGTACAATACACTGAAATACACTGCAGGGCAAAAGACGAATGCACATGAAAATCGGATTTGACAGAAAACATTCCAAAAAACGTTACTCGGCTGAAAACAATCGCTGAAACACTGCAAACTTAAGGTCCAAAAACAGAAGTATGATACGCGTATAAAAAATATCACCATCGAAAAACCGTTTCTTGTTTAATTGTTTCATTTTAGCCTCCATCAAACTTGGAAGTATACTTTCTATTGCGCGGCAGTTTGCATTGTTGACCCTTGTTATTTACTGGTGTATATGTTTTGCTATAGAAAGTGTGTATGTTTTCATATGGTTAACAGACATATATAATCAACTGAACAACATACTTTACGAATAATACTTTAATACTTTATAGTCCCCATGAATTCAAAATCAACAAAACAACATCCCTCGTCATCGGTATGCTATTGGTATACCAATCGGTATGCTGAAGACGAAATGCATATCTGTTGAGTTGTTATTCTACCTTTCAATACTAAAGGTTGTGTTCCCTTCATGGACTACAGCTAGCAATCACCGCAAGCGAGGGCGGTGGGGTAGCCTAGTGGTTAGAGAGTTCGCTCGTCACGCCGAAATCCCGTTTCGATTCCGCACAAGGGCACAATGTGTGAAGCCTATTGCGGGTACATATTCACAACCGTGATTTTGCTGGAATATTGATAACAGCGAGGTAGAACCATAATCACTCACTCACCTTTTCAATGCGACCACTAGATCTGCATTATGATTGAAGCCTTAGCATGTATTGTTTTTTTTGTTTAACGCCGCACTCAGCAATATTGCAGCTGTATGACGTGCATCAACCAAGTCAGCGAGCCTGACCACCCGATCCCGTTAGTCGTCTCTTACAACAAGCATAGTCGCCTTTTACTGCAAGTATGGTTTGCTGAAGGCCTATTCTATCCTGGATCTTCACGGGTTAGCATGTATTGCGAACTGGCGTCCTTCGACAAACCCTATATAGTGCATTATGCATGCAGAAGCAATGCACGATTTATTGTGATCAGTTGTTAACAAAATATTCAAAAGAGTGTAACATGTTTTCACCAGTATATTTGTGTTCAAACATGTAACACATAACACATTTTCAAGATTGTTTTGGGGGGTGGGGTTCAAACTAAAAAATATTAGACCTCGATTGTTATACGCGCTTTGTAAAGCGTAAAAATAAAAAAAGAATACAATTCACCTTCCATGAAACACAATAGTTGTAGTTATAGCTTTGTGATGAACCGAGCAGTATCGTGGAAATTGAAACCTCTTTGCGAAACCTCTATTCGACAGGGTGGCTCAGTCGTTCGCTGAACAGAGTTACTTCTCTTAGTCATGCCAGTATCCGATGATCATGGGTTCGAATTCCAGATTCGCCCTGCTTATGATTCTTGCTTTGTCAGCATCATATCCTTGATCGTGGATTTCAACAAAATTGTAAACGATGAATACCAGTAACAAATGTTGTATTTGGGATAGCACTTTCTTCGTAAAGTACAGATTCTCGTACTTTTATGGGTTTAGTCCCGTCCGGGATTCGAACCCACTCTTGTCAGAGTGAGGCACCTAATCGCCAGCACACAAAGTCAGCGATTTAACCCACTCAGCCACCGAGGCTTCCATAAACATGAAAGTGTGACAACTGGTAGTCTAGATCACATACTTTGAGTACTCTGACAAGTGTAAATTGGCACGGCTCCCATGGCTGAAAGCTATGAATACGCAATGTCATTTAGAAAGTGGTCAAATGTAACAAATGTTGTATATGGGATAACACTTTCTTAGTAAAGTACAGATTCTCGTACTTTTTTTGGGTTGAGTCCCGTGCGGGATGAATACCAGCATCACTTCGGACTATCCCATACATCACGGATGATTGAATCGATGCGCAGAGACATAAATGAAATATTGTTCAAAGTGGCGTTAAACCCACCTCACTTACTCTGTCCGGCATTATATCGTGCCATTGCTGCCCCTTTATATC